GGTCCTCTGCAAGTGCAGTCAGTGCTCTTAACCTCTGAGCCATCTCTCCAGTGCCATGAAGTACTCTTTAAATAGGTAAGACTTCTTTACAGCGTTTCAGTCTTGGTGAGTTGCTGATCCTTGTCTACCAACAGCCCCTGAATTGGGGGGTACTTCTGTTTACTGGAAATGCTGGCACCTTCATAAACATGGGTGAGGAGTTCCCCTTGTTGGATACCCTGTAGTCTACCACCGTCAGTTTGCTCTTTACACTATCTCTCCACATCATCAGCCACCATCACCTTTAGAAAACAGTAACTGGAACCTGACAGATGCTGCACGCATAGGTGTGAGTTTCTAGCTGAGCCAATGAACCACCCTCAGCTTGTCTGAAAGCCTGTTCAGTCACTGTTGCTTACCATGCATTCCTAGTAACACTGTTTGGTGGAGGGTTGCTTGCCAAATTTTGTTTTTGCTTTATCTCACTTATGGTATTTATTTATGCAGTAGGTCTGTCTGCCCAGCAAGAATCATAACTAATATCCCTTCAACTTTATCAGTGTGCCAGATTGTGTTCAAGTGATTTTCATTTAGGTCTTTTTTTTCACAGTATTTTCAGATAGGTGCTGTTATTACTTTACAGATGTGAAAAATGAAACTCAGACACACCTAGTTAGTGGAGAAGTTCCAGCTCTTTGAAGCTTGGCATCAAAGCCTCATGTTTACATAAAATACAGTATCTCTAGAATATAAGCATCCTGCGGTCAGGGTCAGGTACTGTAGAATTTCCCACGAGCAAACCAGTTATGCATACAGAAAACTCAACTGTATTTGGAGAATGTCATTATTTAGAATTTTTAAGGTCTCAAAGGACTAAATTGTGTATATTTTTTCTATTTCCCAGTGCTTCTCAAGTAATGCTTACTAAACAGTCAACCAACCAAGTAGAGAAGACTTTCTCCTGAGACAGAGTCCCAGTTACAAAGCCAGGTTTTCTCAATAAAACTAGTCTCCAAAAGGCTGTCCTTAGGGCAGCACCAAGCTGGAGGAGGCTCTGGGTGTTCCTGCACGCTGTCTACACCCCAGGGCACTGCATAAACATGGAAAGGATGAACCTGAGCCAAGGTATGGAGTTTGAGCTCTTGGGCCTGACGAGTGACCCCCAGCTCCAGAGGCTGCTCTTCGTGATATTTCTGGGCATGTACTTTGTCACTGTGCTTGGGAACCTGGTCATGTTCCTCCTAATCCACGTGAGTGTCACTCTGCATACACCCATGTACACCCTCCTCAAGAGCCTTTCCTTCTTAGACTTCTGCTACTCCTCCACGGTTGTCCCCCAGGCCCTGGTGAACTTCTTGGTTAGGAGGAAGGTGATCTCTTATCTTGGCTGCATGGCTCAGATGTTCTTCTATGCGGGTTTTGCCACCAGTGAGTGCTATCTCATTGCCGCCATGGCCTATGACCGCTACGCCGCTATTCATAACCCCCTGCTCTACCCAACCATCATGTCTCCGGAGGTCTGTGCGTCTCTGGTTGTGGACTCCTGTAGTGCAGGATTTCTCAATTCTCTCATCCACACGAGCTGTATCTTCAGTCTGAAATTCTGTGGGGCTCATGTGGTCACTCACTTCTTCTGTGATGGACCGCCAATCCTGTCCTTGTCCTGTGTGGACACTTCGCTGTGTGAAGTCCTGCTCTTTGTTTTTGCGGGTTTCAACCTTCTGAGCTGCACTCTCACCATCTTGATCTCCTACACCTTAATCCTCGTCACCATCCTGCGAATGAACTCAGCCCAAGGCAGACGGAAGGCGTTTTCCACCTGCACTTCCCACCTCACTGCTGTGTGCTTATTTTTTGGCACAACACTTTTTATGTACCTGCGCCCTAGGTCCAGCTACTCCTTGACTCAGGACCGCACAGTTGCTGTGATCTATACAGTGGTGATCCCAATGCTGAACCCTTTAATCTACTCTTCGAGAAACAAGGATGTGAAGGACGCTCTAAGGAAGGTTTGGGGCTGGAAAACAGTGGGGTGATCTTATGGACTCTCAGGTCTTTAGAAAGCCAAGGGAGCTTTGCCTTCTGTGCTACTCTGAGCAAGTACCCAGCTCGCCTTGTCAACAGAGCATGCCCTCTGATCGGCCGGTGCTTCTGAGCCGACCCACCACAGAGAGAATGCAGTTCCCACAGAGACAGAATGAGAGGGACTGACCACTTCTTGCCTCGCTGGATTTCCTGGCAAAGTATAGTAATGGTTTTGTGCTAATGTTTTACTTAGAGTTTGAAGCTGGTAAATACTTTTTTCCTATTAGAAATAGACACATGTTCTTCATGATAAGGTTATTCCCAGCTGGGTATGGTGATTCATGCCTTGAATCCCAGCACTTGGAAGGCCAAGACAGGAAGATCAGAAGTTCAAGGCTTCAGCTACACAGTGAGACCCTGATGCAACTGGAGGCTCATCAAATGAAGCAAAATCAGACTCAGAAAAGCAAATCTTATGTGCTTTCTCCCATTTGTAGATCCTGGGGTTTATGTAGATACATCAAATTGCAAACATGCAGGGGTGGAGTGCATGAAGCAAGAGTACCTTGGGATGAATGGGACTAGGGGGAGCAAGGGGTGCAGGGAAAAGAGGGGTGGAGGGTGGGCATGGTCAAAGTACATGATATGCTTGTATAAAAGTTGTACGTGTCACTAGGCACAGTGACTATAGGCCAATAAAAATTTATATAAAACAAAAAACAACATTATTCTCTTTTTAAAATATTTTACTTATTATTTTATATGTATGGATAGCTTTAGTGTCAACTTGACACACTTGGGTTGAGGGAGCCTCAGT